GGGAACCTCATCCAGATGTTGTCACTTCCAGCCCCGGGGGGTATGGGAGTGATTGCTTTTTTAAAGCATTTCTTTCTCTGTTTGGGAAGTAAGCTAGCACTGAGTTTGCTGGTACCATTTACGATAGTGGAAGGGAGCTGACTCTTCAGGAATTGGGAACTGCCCAGGCCCGGCCAGGCCACTCCTGGCCATCCACTGATGCTTGTCTCACGCCCGTTCCGGTGACAGATCCTTCGTGTAGCATGCGGTTCTGCCAGCCCTGTCACAACACGGCATGCCCTGACTTGCGCCTGGTCCTTCTGCTGTCCTCACAGCTTACGGCCGCTCGCCTGCCACCCAGGCTCTGCAGGCGGATTTTTGCAGGAGCTATCTGGACTGGAGATGGTACCGGATCAGGAATTGGCTGATGTGAATTTTGCTCATGACCATATATTTGATAAGCAGAACAGGGTTCATTATTGGTGGCACGCCCACTTGCTGTCCATCTGGGAGCTCTAGGGAGAGAAACTTCAGTGTCTTTAAAAGAAAAAAAAAAAAACCTGCAGTGTGAACTGGGAGAAAGAAAGGGGCTAAGACAACACACTGCATGAGGACATTCAGAGTTGGACAGACACAGGGTCAAGGTAGCTGGCAAGTTCAGTCTCTCAGTGTATGAAAAGCTAAGCAAAGGTGATGTACAGTTCCCCTATGGGGCTGCAAGGCCGTGGTGGTACTCCACCAGGCTAAAAGCAAACGCATTTTCCAAGGCAAAACTTTTCTAAGCTGGCCAAGTTCCTGTTAACACTTGGTGCCACTTGACTGATTTTCTTCCGTTCTCAGAGCCCCGGATGGTACAGCAAATTTCAGAGCCGACATTCGAATCGCCTTGAGAAGGGTCATGTCTCCCCCTTTGAATGCTTCTCCCGGGAACTTCCCAGGAGTTTGTTTGGGGTTTGGGTCCCGGCTTCCCGCCTCCTGGGGGGGGGGTGACGCCCCTCTCCTCGGCAGGGCTGCGGTTTCACTCGATAGTTATCGCCTGGTGTTTTCTTGTGTTTCTCTTCCAGAGTGAAAGAATTGAAAAAGGCCAAGGAACTTGAAGACCTACAGCAGCACCCCTTAGCAATGTGACGTTGCTTTTTCAGACTGTTTTCATTTGTTTTTAGCAGAGACATGCAACAACACAACACAACACACACGCGCACACACACGCACACATGATCCCGCTGCAGTTTTGGGGAGCTCAGCTGCAGGATTTTAACAGGAATGTTTTTTGGTCATTGCATTTGCACTTTCATGGACAACTTTTCATTTGATCAGCAAGACATCTTGGAACTCAATCTTCTGTTGGATCACAGGAAAACCAGACACTGGGAGGGAGCGAAGAGGCTTCAACCCAGAGGAAGCTGCTCTCCTCCGACAGGGCTGCACTCCCACGTCGCGTGCAACTGTACAGACCTTTATACCAAAAACCTAGCTCAGAGACGGCGGGGCCACCCTGGCAGCAGCTAAGACGCTGAGCCTGCAGCTGGCGGCCTCTCCGAAGGGCTCCGCCTGCGGGACTGGTTTGCAAAGTGGAGGGCTCAGCTCGTGCGATCTGTATCGGGTCTGTGTGTTCTCATTTCCCTCACTGTTTCTTATTTGTCTGTCCTGTTTGTTTTAATCTCTACAGCACACTTAATGCAACTTTTGAAATCTGCAGGTTTTTACAGGCTTGTGGGAATTTGCAGAGGGGCGGGTGTGTGGCAAACGGGTAATGCATGGGATCTAATGAGAAACAGCTTCCAGAGGCTCAGTGTGTTTTGTCCCCACCACCTCCCAGAAGCCCCGTGAGTGACCATGTCGTCCCTTCTCTCATGTTCAGCACTTTAATTTCTTGGCCTTACTTTCATGTGCAATGAGAATTCCTTAAGAATCGGTAAAGCATGTAGCCTTTTTTAGTGACCTTGGAAGCTAGCCGTTCCAAGGGGTCATCAACCTCGCCTGGACATTGGCCACCTAAACAATCAGTGTGGTGCTGCGTTCTGGCCAGTAAAAATCCCATGTTCTTGGCTCTCTCTCATCCAGCGGAGCGGTGTCTGTGTATATAGAGAAAGTAGAAATGAAAGGTGAGAAAATATTTGAAAGGGATTATATTAATTGCTAAATATTTTATTCACAAAGGTCAATAACATGGCAAGATAAAATTATTTGTATAGTTTTGTCTGAATGAGCGAGAAAAATGTGGATGTATTGTTTGTATATATTGTATATATTAAAACAAAGAGATATGTGCATGAAATCAAGAAAAAGAAATGAACAAAGCAAAGCATTAGTGGCTATGGTCTGTAAAATGAAACAAAAAAACTTTATTTCACTATAAGAGTACTTTATTTTAAATGTTCTTTAGAAGAACATTTTGCTAAAGCATGACTTAACTGCAAAAAAAGAGCTACTGTATTTAGACTTAGGAAAAAAGGCAGAGTAACATTACTTTAAAAAAAAAGGATATGTTTACATTTAATTTTGGCTACCAGGAATTTAGTTTATTTTATTTATAATTTTTTTGCCAATGGTGCCAAGTAATGTGAATGCTAATACTGCTTAAGAAAATTCATTTACTTTTGCAAAACAGATAATCATTAAGAGAAATCAGTATACAGCCTAACACCATCCACTCCAACAAGGAACACGCAGAAGGATCAAAACCTGACAGAAGGAAACGGCACGCAGAGTAGGAAAATGTCACGTTTTCATATCTCCTGCTGGAAATCAGGAAGGGAAATGGAAATCACGCACACGCACACACACACACACCAGAACAACTAAGGAGTGAAAAAGATGTAGACTGATCCTGTGAGGGACGTCATGGACTGAACTCTTTCCACACAATGAGGAGCCAAAGAAATCCGACGCTTTTACAAATTAGAACTACTGAGGTTAAACTGAGAGGATGACGTTGGTGTTACTGATGCCAGTTTAAAACCCCCGGGTGAGGTTGGAGGCTCAGTTGGTGTGAAGTCGAGATGGTTTCTCTCCTCTTGGTCCTGGCTGCTGACTGGGAGGACTCAGGGCTTGTCGGGACGCCTGCCGGTGTTCACAGGTGAGCTTTTAAACTGGCGTCTTACAGTAAGCAGGTGGACACAAACAGATGGTGGTCAAAATTGGGGTCAGTGCTCTTGGTGCCTTTTCTATAATCGTACTTGTTTTTTAATTACTTCCTTTCACTGCCAACCTCGAATTACTGTACAGTATACGTCTTTCTGCTTGTGACTGGCTTTGACAAACAGTGACAGCCCCACAACGAGTAGCCACCTGTACATTTGTAAACCGATCTGACTCAATTTTGTTTTTAAATGTGTGGGTTATGTCACAGCTGTTACGGTCCCCCGGGTACCCATGTTTTACACGGTCCGACCTACAGGAGGACGCTGAGTAATCCAGGAACACACAGTTGCATTCATAAATGGGGAATGTGAAAGCCAGCTTTTCCGGGATACCCCAGGTTAACAGTGAAATTGGCTATGTCTGTTCCATTGATTAGGTTTCCAATAACTGATCTTTTCACCAGAGTAATGACCTCAGTACATTTGTTTTAACCCTCACGTTATTAGCCGAATTACGTTGGAAAATTCCAGATGATTAACAAGACTTCCCGTAGAATTAGGAGGGCTCTTAGGGAGGGGGTGGCAGGTGGGTCCCGAGCCTACCAGTCCAAGGTGGATCCTGGGTGAACTACCAACGCACTTCCACTGAAGCCAAGCATTTCTGACCGCTTCGTCTTGGTCGTCAACCTTAATTTCAACCATGATAGTTAAGCGCAGCTTTCTTGGATAATCTGAATTCCCAAGTGCCAGGAGTAGGACTTCGTTATAAAATTAATAGCTCATCTTAATTCTGTCTCCTGAAGATTGAATTGCTATTCTTGTTACCCATTTGAAATCAGCTGTACTGTGTGAACGACATAAAAAGACAATACCACGGTCCCCTCTGGCTGCACGGTCGCTTCTGGCAGCTCCACAAAGTAGTTGGCGCCCAACGTTGGGGGGGGGGTCCCTGAGACTTGCATGTAAAACTAGTCTAGATGTCTTCTTTTGTAAGTTTTATTTTTGTAATTGTGCATGTGAAGCATCATTGAATCAATGGATCTGTTGAAGAACTCAGCTGCTGGAAAACCATGCAACATGTTTGGAATTGCCCTTAAACTATGGAAAATGTTTTCTGAATGCTTTATATTCTTTCTGCTGTAAATTAAAAACAAAGAAAATTTCCCCATACTATCTGCGTTTTGCTTTAACCGGACCCGTTCTTGGTCCCCCCCAGTCCCGGCACTGTCTTGTGACCCAGCTGGAGTGCAGAGGCGCTGGGTGCTCCCGGGGGGATGCCTTCCCAGCACCGGGTATGGACACCTCTCACCTGACCCTGCCCCACCTGCCAGTCCATCATTTGTCAAGACAGTGCAGTCATCTGAGCCACACCTGCCCAGGCGCACCTTTTCCATTGCTTTGCAAGACGTTTTGTTTACCTAGACTGTCGGCCACTGCGGGCCTCCCCACCCCTTGACACAGCCCACCGCCTTGAGACATCTTGCTTGCTGGCCCTCCTTGCCTGCCTCTCTGGCCGCTCTGTGCCCACCATGCCCGATACTGCCCAAGTCGGCCTCCCTGGGTCCCCGTCCCTCCCGCAGCTCGGCTTGGATGCCGCTGGCCTGTGGGTGGTAACCACACCAAGAGCTCCGCTTCAGCAGGATCTGAACCGCCTCCCTGAGGAACCCGGTTAGACAGTGCAGTCCTGAGATCCCCTGTCCAGCGGCCAGCCTGCCGTGGGCAGGGGGCAGGGCAGCACAGCCCCGCCCCCGGCGCCAACAGCCCCGCTCTCGTGCCTCCGGCGACCCTGGGCTGGACCCAGGGGTCCTGGCCGCGACCCCAAAGCCCACCCAATGCCCACCAGGCCCACCCAACGCCCCAGGTGCCCCGGGACACCGCCCACGCCCCACTTCCGGCGCCCCCGTGACGTCGTCTCTGCGCGCCGCCCCACCCAGCCCCGCAGCCCCGGTTGCGAAGCTCGCTGATCCTCACCCGCCGCCTTGGTCGCCGAGATGTGAGTGAGGGAAGCCGGGCCGGCCAGCGCTGGGCACGGCCGAGGCCCGCGGATGCCCCCGACGCCGTCCGCTCCCTGGGGGGCGGGGGGCGCGCCTCGGAGCGGGCTTGGGAACTTGCCTTCCCGGGGTCCCGTGCTTCCACTTTGGACACTTGGTTGTTGAAAGTCGCGGGGTGTCCCCCACGCTGGGCACTCCCTCCAGGCTTCCGAGGAAACCAGACCCTCGGGATTCCAGGGACGCGCCCCTGGAACGTGCCCACTGGGGCTGCCGTGCCAACAGGCAGATCCCTGGGCAGTGGCTGGGGTCTGCGTCCACGCCTTTAGCTCCTAATGGCCTCAGTCGGTGGCTCCGCCTTGCTGACTCTCAGTTCTCTCTCTGCTGTGAAATGGGGGTGTTGGTGGCATTGCCCCTCAAAGCGAGGATTCCAGGAAAGGCTGACCCTGGGCGTGGCCCCTGTTGCCTGCCAGACACTGAACTCGGTGGGAACTGGCCTCTTCGCGGCCCGTGCCTGACCCATGCCTGCTGAGTGTGAGGGGTGCGGGTAGCCAGGCATGCGCTGGGCCACAGGCCATCTTGGACACAGAGAACTGTGGAGAGGAGAGGTGTGAGCTGATGATCAGAGCCAGGGTGCTGAGGGAAGGCTGGAGTGTGGGGTTAGGCCGCTGTCCACAGGGTGCGTGGCAGCTCATCTTGCTCTCACAGCCATCCTGCCCCCTGTTCCTCTAAGTTAGAATACCACTTCAGAATTGTTCATAAGCCGGAAAACAGGTTGTTTGTTTGTTTAATTGGAAGGTCAGACATACAGAGAGGAAGAGAGACAGAGAGGAAGATCTTCTGTCCATTACTTCTGTCCAAGTAAAGACCAGGATCTTTACTTCCTGAATGACTGCAATGGCCAGAGCTGAACCAATCCGAACCCAGGAGCCCGGAGCCTCCTCCTGGTCTCCCACGCAGGTACAGGGTCCCAAGGCGTTGGGCCGTCCTCTACTGCTTTCCCAGGCCACAAGCAGGGAGCTGGATGGGAAGCAGGGCCGCCCTGATTAGAACTGGCACCCATATGGGATCCTGGTGCATTCCATGCGAGAACTTTAGACACTCGGCACTAGGCCCTGGAAAACAATTATTTAAGTGCCTTTTAAAAATTAGTATTATTGGGCCCGGCACAGTGGCGCAAGTGGTTAAGGTCCTCGCCTTGCACGCCCGGGATCCCATATGGGCACCAGTTCTAATCCCGGCAGCCCCGCTTCCCTTCCAGCTCCCTGCCTGTGGCCCAGGAAAGCAGTTGAGGACAGCCCAAAGCTTTGGGAACCTGCACCCGCGAGGGAGACCCGGAAGAGGCTCCTGGCTTTGGATCGGCATAGCATCGGCCATTGTGCTCACTTGGGGAGTGACTCATCGGACGGAAGATCTTCCTCTCTGTCTCTCCTCTCTGTATAACCACCTTTCCAATAAAAACATAATAAAAATAAATCTTTAAAAAAATTAGTATTATTGATTTGAAAAGCGGGGTTACAGAGAGAGAGAGCTCTGTCTTGTGGTTCACTCCCCAGATGAGCACCAGCACTGGAGTTGGGCCAGTTCAAGGCCAGCAGCTTCTTCCAGGTCTCCATGTGAGTGCAGGGCCCAAGCACTTGAGCCACCTTCTGCTGCTTTCCCAGGCCCATCCACACGGAGCTGGATGTGAAGTGGAGCAGCTGGGGCTTGAACTAGCGGTCATATGGTATGCCAGCAATGCCTGCAGTGGCTTTACCCCCTGCTCCATAGCCCTGGGCCCTGCACACGGTTCTTGCCACAGGGAAAAGACCAGGAGAGGCCTGGGTGCATTTAAACCTTTGTGTGCCTTAAAACAACTCACGCGGGGCCCAGTGGCTAAATCCTTGCCTTGCATGTGCCAGGATCCCATATGGGTGCTGGTTTTGATCCTGACTGCTCCACTTCCCATCCAGCTCCCTGCTTGTGGCCTGGGAAAGCAGTCGAGGACAGCCCAAAGCCTTGGGGTCCTGCTCCTGTGTGGGAGACCCCAAAGATGCTCCTGGCTTTGGATCTGCTAAGCTCCAGAAGGAAGATTCTTCTCTCTGTAAATCTGACTTTCCATTAATAAAAAATAATAATATATATATATATTTTTTTTTTCCCCAAAGAAAAACTCAAGATGGAAAGTAGCATGCCTGTCTTGCGATCAGTGATACAAAGTAGAGGCAGTTACAAGGTACACTCAGAGGCTGGTCACTTGGATGTGCCAGCGCATGGGGGAGACCATGAAGGACAAGGACTGCCATGCGCAGCTTTGTTGAGGCCCCGGGAAGGATCTCTTCATCTGGGTTCTGTCAGCCCTGGAGGTCCTGGAGCAAGGTCCCAGTGCCAACAGAGCCATGGTGGGTCTGTAACATGCTCACCCTGTGCCTTTGCACCTTCCAGGTCCACGGGTACGCCTGCAGGGTCCAGTGCTGCCGCTGGCAGCAGCAGAAGACTTCAGCAGACACAGAACCAAGTAGATGAGGTATTGCTCCGAGATGCTGGGAGTGTGGGAGGGCCTGGAAATAGTTGTGTCTAGAAAAGTTCGTGAAGGTCAGATGTCTTGGCTGTATCACAGAGGTGATCGGTCTGCCCTGGCTGTTCCAGGAGCCCTGCTTTCTCTTCCAGCCCGTGCTTTTCCCCCTCAGTAGAACCATGTACCTAAAACACAAAACCCACCCTGAGAACATCTCCTAAAATTACTTTAAAACAATGCGGATTTAAGGATTAGGCCTACAGGTTATTCCTGCCGGGAGTCATCTTTCTGATGGATCTTTTTCTAATTTTAATCAAAGTGCTTTAGCCTGCCTCACTAAGAACCAGCCTGGGCTAGCCTGCCAGTTGCCCCTTGACCCGTGGGAAGCAGCCTGCTATGGCTTGGCAGTCTCTGGAATTCCTGAGCTATAGAGACCTTCCGAGAATCTCGGAGACGCAGAACCATGACAACCTGGGGACAGTCAGACCAGGTCTCCTTTATCCCTGAGTCGCTAGTGCGTGGCAGAGACATCTTGGTTCTGCATGTGGTGGCCGTCTCAAGCAGAACTGCATACGTGCCATCATCAACTCCTCTAGTAATGTTTGACCTGCTGGCTTTGTCAGTCAACTCCACAGTTTTAGACCTCTAGGTAAGAGACCCATTCTACCCTTGCAGCTTACTAACAAATCAGATCAGAGCCCTTTTGTGGAAAAAAGGGCAAAGGATCCTTAGTGGAGGTAAAATACATCATTGACTATGTCATAGCAAAGTGTACAACTTATCAGTATGTAGTGTATTCATAAAGTGGTGCACTTCTAATCTTACTCTTGATCCCAGAAGAGCACCCTGTACCCACGTAGCAAACTGTTTACTTATCCCCATCCTCCCCCTGCCCCAGTCCCTGGTTCCCTAATGAGATGGCTCTGTAGACCCGACTGCCTAGTTGGGGTGTGTCATGTAACTTATGACCTTTTTCTGGATTCTGTTACCTGGCGCAGTGTTTCAGTGTTCATCAGAATTGTGACATGTATCCGAACTCTATTTTCACAGTTGAGTAATATCCCATTGTATGTGAAATTGCACAGTCTCCTAGCTCAGTAACAAGTGCTTGAGGTACTTAAGTTGGTTCTACCCTCTGGCTGTTACACACAGTGCAGCTGTGACACCCTGGGCCCTCGCTCCTCTGGGTAGCGCTGCTGCACCAGAGGGTCCTCCCCCAGCAGTGCCCGAGAGCTGACCACCTGTTCACCAGGGCTTGTGGCTCCCCCAGCAGTGCCCGGGAGCTGACCACCTGTTCACCAGGGCTTGTGGCTCCCCGAGCAGTGCCCGAGAGCTGACCACCTGTTCACCAGGGCTTGTGGCTCCCCCAGCAGTGCCTGAGAGCTGACCACCTGTTCACCAGGGCTTGTGGCTCCCCCAGCAGTGCCAAGGGCTGTCCACCTGTTCACCAGGGCTTGTGGCTCCCCCAGCAGTGCCAAGGGCTGTCCACCTGTTCACCAGGGCTTGTGGCTCCCCGAGCAGTGCCAAGGGCTGTCCACCTGTTCACCAGGGCTTGTGGCTCCCCGAGCAGTGCCAAGGGCTGTCCACCTGTTCACCAGGACTTGTGGCTCCCCGAGCAGTGCCAAGGGCTGTCCACCTGTTCACCAGGACTTGTGGCTCCCCGAGCAGTGCCAAGGGCTGTCCACCTGTTCACTGGCTGTGTTTGGCATCCATGAATGGCTGAGCTGATTGGACATCTGAGTATCTTCAGAAGTGATTGCTATTCATTTCCTGAGTCCACTTTTTGATTGGGTTTGTCTTGTCGACAGCCCAGAGTTCTTTTTGTATTCTGCCTATTAAGCCCTCATCAGATACATGCTTTTCAAATATTTTCTCCCATTTGGTGGACTTTTATGTTCTCGATACAAATGTTGATTTTCGTGAAATCCAGCTTATCTGTTTTTCCCTTTTATTGCTCTTGCTTTTGGCATCAAATCTAAGAATCTAGGGCAAAACCCTCGATGATATTTAGCCTTATTTTTGCGTCTAAGAGTTTTGAACTTTCAGCCTCTACACTTGGGTGGTTAATCATTTGGAGTTAAGTTTCGTACGTGACGCAAAGTAGGAGTCCAGATTTGCCCTTTTTCATGGACTGTCCCAGCCCCATTTTGAAGACACTGATAGCCAGGAGCTTTTCCCAGGCCTTCCACATGTGAAGAGGGACCCGAGCACTGGGTCATCCTCCACTGCTTTTTCATTAGCAGGAAGCTGAATGGAAAGTGAAGCAGCTGGGCAGAGCCAGCACCCACTGGTTGGCTGGTTTCATGAGCAGCAGCTTCCCCTACTATGCCACAGCGCTGGCCCCTGAAGATACTGTTCTTGCCCCCGTCGCGTGGCCTTGGCACCTTGTCAAGAAAATCTGTTGATTTCTGGACCCGCAGGTCTGTCCCACTGTCCACGTGTCGTCTGTCGTTGGTCCAAAACCACACTGGTTCCTGTGACCTTATAGTGCAAAGCGTTAGCCCTTCACCCACACACATTTTCAGGATTGTTCTGTAATTCCATGTGGATTTGACTATTGGCTTTTCAATTTCTGGGAAAAGATACTGAATTTGATAGGGATTGTATTGAACCTGCACGTCACTTTGGGTAAGGTTGTCGTACCGTACTAAGCACTCCAGTGTAATCTTAGGATGCTCTATGTCATTAATTTTCTGTCATTCCTTACAGTGCTGCAGTGTTGTGCAAGTCTTTTGCCTGCTCGTTAGTTCCTAGGGGTTTTATTCTTTCAGGTCACCTGGTAAATGATTCTTTGTGGACTGCTCATTGCTAAGGTGTGGACACCACTGTCGATCCTGTAGCTCAGTTTCTCTAAGTTTATTAGCTCTTGTGCCTTTGTTGTAGATTCTTCAGCGTTTTCTTTGTATGTATCGAATCACCCACAAATAGAGTGAGGTTTTGCTTTTCCTGGCTCAGGGAGATGCCTTTTCTTTGCGCTGACCTGATGTGTTGTGGCACAGTGGCTGTGAACAGAATGCTCTCTCCTTGCTGATCTTCAGCCCTTCGCCCTGAGGGTGACACGAATTGTAGGTTTCCCCACAGATGTCCTTCATACCATTCAGGAAATTCCCTTAGTTTTCTCAGTGTTTTTATCTTAGTTACGGTCTGAGCTGAAGAGGATGTGCCGGTTCGTGTTGTCTGTCATGGTGGTTCTCCCGTTCCGTGATGGCTAACTTGTGTGACTGCTCTCACTTAGGTGGTGGACATAATGAGAGTCAACGTGGATAAGGTCTTAGAGAGAGACCAGAAGCTCTCCGAGTTAGATGACCGAGCAGACGCACTGCAGGCAGGGGCCTCTCAGTTTGAAACCAGTGCTGCCAAGTTGAAGAGAAAGTACTGGTGGAAGAATTGCAAGGTACTGCTCTTGTCACACCCCTCCCCAGTCTCAGCGGATCAGCAGAGGCTAAAATAGTGGCCTCTCATGCCTAGGGGAGGGGGCCTCACCTCTCTGCTTGGGGACGCTGGAGTCAGCCGGGGGGGGGGGGGGGGGGGGGGGTGAGGCGGTGGGAAAGGGGTCTCACCTCTTGGCTTGGGGATGCTGGGGTCAGCTGGGTTCTGCCCTGGCCCCTCAGCCCTGAGCATTGACCGATGGGAGAGGGCTGGGTGTGACAGTCATGACACATAAGGTTGTGTAGATGGCTCCAAGGTGGAGGGTACGGGATACACAGAGAAGCTTGCAAGGAGTGTGGCTGCAGTGGAGAAGGCAGGCTTGCGTGGAGTGTGGCCCGCAGCAGAACAGGCAGGCTTGCTCAAGGAGCGTGGCCCGCAGCAGACAGCCACGGCCAGACCCCAGCATACCCTGCATTGTACCTTGTTGGGCAGTGATGCTTCTGGACAGTCATGGTGCATCTGCCACCTTCTCGGAAGCCAGCACCTCCCTAGGACATGAATCCTTTGCGTGTATATGTGTGTGTATACATACACACACACGTATGTATATTGAAGATGTATTTATTTATTTGAAAGGCAGTTAGATTTCCAGTCACTGCTTTGCTCCCCAAATGATCACAATGGCCACAAGTGGGCCAAGTTGGAGCTAGGAGCCTAGCTCTCCATCCTGGTCTCATGTGGGGCAGGGTGCTTGGACCATCTTCCACTGCTGTGCTAGGCAAATCAGCAGGAAGCTGGATCAGAAGTGGAGCATCTGGGACACAAACTGGTACCCATATGGGATGCCAGTGTTGCAAGCAGTGGGTTAAAATGGTTTTTGTTTGTTTGTTTTTTGGGGTTTTTTTGGTCATTGTTTTGTTTTGCTTTTTTAAGATGTATTTGTTTGAAAGATAGTTACAGAGAGAGGGAGGGACAGAGAGGGTCTCCATCCACTGGTTCCCAGTGGTCACAGTGGCTGGGGCTGAACAGCTCTAAAGCCTTCCCTCCAGCTCTCTCGTGGGTGCAGGGCCTAAGGGACCATCTCCCACTGCCTTCCCAGTCCTTCAGTGGGGAGCAGGGTGGGAGGTGGAACATCTGGCACTAGAACAAGTGCCCTCATGTGTGCCAGTGCCATGGCTGTTTAGCCTGCTAAGCATGATGCTGGCCCCATGAATATGCTTTTAAAAGCAGCTGAGTAATCTCCAGGCCCTAATGGGAAGCCGGAGTGTGGGCTTCAGTTCCAGATGTGTACCCCTCTTTTCTGCCTCGCTGACTGCAGTCAGTGCCTGGTGTCTCTCGGTGACTGCAATGGTGTAACACTCTGCTGTCTGTTGCAGATGTGGGCGATAGGGATCAGTGTTCTGGTCTTCATCATCATCATCATTGCTGGTGAGTTACCCTGTGCCTTCCTAGTTGATGTGTGCGCGAGAACTTAGGGCAAAGTTCGCACAGAGAGGGCAGCGTAGTTTCAATCACCTTAATTTTTGTTCGCAAAGATTTTGCATACTTGATTTAAATCTGGAATTTTTTAAATAAACATTCATTCTTTAAAGTTAGAGAAAATTTGTTTATTTCTGTTGAGAGGTGCATTTTCTTATAAATGTATTTTTATCCCTTATGTTCTTGTATATCACACAGTGACTAGAACTGGGGGCTACCTGTAGTGCACCCCCACCATCAGCTCTTGGCCTTGAACAAGTCGATTAAAACTTGCAGACCTGTCTCTTCCCTTTGGCATGAGGGTAGTCATAGCTCCCACCTTGTTTGATATGTGAACAAATCTGATTATTGTGTAAAAGGAGTTAAAGGTGGCGCCTGGCATGTATAGGTGATGACAAGAATACTTATGTATTTTAAAAGATTTGTTTACTTGAAAGGAAGAGTTAACAGGGAGAGAGAGGGGTACCAATCCTGTCTGTGCCCCAGCTGGCTTAGCCCACTGCACCGCAGTGCTAGCCCCAACAGGAAACGGAGCAGCCAGGACCTGAACTAACACAGAGTGTTGGTGCCCCAGCTGGCTTAGCCCACTGCACCGCAGTGCTAGCCTCAACGGGAAACGGAGCAGCCAGGACCTGAACTAGCACAGAGTGTCGGTGCCTCAACTGGCTTAGCCCACTGCACCACAGTGCTAGCCCCAATGGGAAACGGAGCAGCCAGGACCTGAACTAGCACAGAGTGTCGGTGCCTCAACTGGCTTAGCCCACTGCACCACAGTGCTAGCCCCAACAGGAAACGGAACAGCCAGGACCTGAACTAACACAGAGTGTCGGTGCCCCAGCTGGCTTAGCCCACTGCACTGCAGTGCTAGCCCCAACAGGAAACGGAGCAGCCAGGACCTGAACTAGCACAGAGTGTTGGTGCCCCAGCTGGCTTAGCCCACTGCACCGCAGTGCTAGTCCCAACAGTAGTTGCTTCTAAATATATCTAAGTTATTGAGACACTCACACACCTGCTAGTGTTATTACTGCATGTACCTTTCTCTTGGCTCGGTCCCCGTAGCCTTCTGGAATGTGGCAAAGCTGTCGGCAGAAATTCAGCCAAATCCCATTGCGTTGACATTTAGATTCGCAGCATTTGCAGCTCATTCTGGACTCACACTGAAAGACTAAACTGCCTGCTTCCCTGTGTGTGACTCTGCCCAACAGTGTGGATTGCTACTTCGTGAAGAGCCGGTGAGGACGCAGCCTGCGCTTCAGAAGATGTCTTCGAGACTTTTGACTTAGAACCAGCTGTTATCAAGCCTACCTTCTGTTTTGTATGGGTTTTTTTGTTTGTTTGTTTGTTTTGGTTTTTTTGTTCATGTGAAGTTCAGTTTCTAGGAAACATGCCTTTGTTCTCTGATATGCACTCCAGGCTAGCAGTGGGCCAGTCCTGCCCACGTTGTGCACAGTGGCCACACGGGCCCAAGGTGACAGAGACCTCCTGAGCCCCAGAGAGCTCCTCACATACCCAACCTTATCACCAGTTCATGGCCTTGACTCCAGTTAAGGGAGTTTGTTCCAAGTTAAGCATCCCTGTCATATGCCACCGTCCTTAGTTCCACATTAGCCTCTCGTTAATCCCATTTCCAATCTGTACCTTCAGAAAAGACACTACTCTTTAGCCCACGTCTGTGACAGTGACGGCTGCGCCTTATCTGCCTGTAGGACTCTCGGTGTCAGCACAGCTGACCCCTGCTGTGCTTCAGGATGCTGATGTCTGAAGATACTTCCTTGTTATTGTCACATGTCACCTGCTACAGCTGTTAGCCAGAAATAAGAGCATTTAACAAAGCTTTCACAGAGCCATAGGTAGGACCAAAGTGCCTATTGCCAAAATGTTAGATACAGATAAAATCTCCTTAAGTCTGCTCCTGACAGATAAATTCAGGAAGTGCCAAATGAAACCTAAGGTGCCTTCAAAACTGAACAAAATTGTCCAGGAGCCGTGTCCAGCCCAGAAGCCTGGAGTACACAGATGTGTGGCTCCACTTGCGTCTTTCCCACGCTGCCGCCGTGGGGCTGGGCTTACCTCTGTGCCTTGCACATGGTCACCGTGGCCTTGCTGTGCTTCTAATGGTGGTGTGAGCCTCCAGACAACCTGTGTGATCACCCTCTGGCCCAGGCCTCACACGTGATGGCTTTGGGAGTCTGGTGTGTATCCCATAGCCAACAGCACACCTCTGGGGCGTGCCTGCACCGGATGCTGCCACCTGAGAAACGTGTGCAGGGCAGACTAACCACAAGCGATGGGGCTTAAAGAGGGAAGTCAGGCCCAGAGGCAGAGGGAGAGAGGGGCTTTGCCAGTCTGGAATATTCTCAAGCTCTTGTTCCCAGGCTGTTCTGACTCACAGAACTACAGCTAAGGGACACCTGCATCCAGGCGCCCTTCCTTAGTACCTGTACCCTCACATTGCCAAAGTGGCTTTCATCCACGGTGAGCCCTGCCTGTGTCCAGCTGCCCGAAGAAAGCCTAACCTCTGTGCGGGGTCTCTCGCCCTGTCTGACTCACACCTGGTGCTCGCCCTGGCCTCTCTGCTCAGTAACCCACTGGCTCCTGCAGTAACCGAGGAATACCTCACTCCTGTCTGCATGCCCGCTGTGATGCTCTGAATAAAGTATTCACGAACATGGTCCAGGCGTCTGTGTTGCTTGGGGAGGGATAGCTCCGACAGTGGTGTTTCCTGCAGATCCCCACTGGCTGTACCCGCAGCAACACTCCCAGCTCTCCCATCTGCCCTCCTGTTTTCCAACACTGTCTCCAGTGGCTCCCTTCGGGAAAAGTCCTCCCACACAGGAGATGTTGGGCCGCTGGTGCAGCTACCAAGATATGCTCAGGGTTTGGCATGCGGGCTTCTCAGAAGCCAGCGAGAGCTGGCCCTACAAAAGGTAGACTGGCCCGCTGCCCACTTGGGATAGATGGCCGTGAGTACATCTCCACAGAGTTCCCTTAATCCTGGGGATGTTTCCCCACATTTGCTTCCATGGCCCCTAGGAAAAACCAGGATGTATGGGTGGAGTCGCCTGCTTGTATTTACAGCGCAGAAACCCAATGCCATGCCCATTGTGAGACCTCAGCAGGAGCTGTCCCTACCCACCCCCCACCCCCTAGGGCAGAAGCCTACCCTCAGCAGGACCCGCTGTGCCTCACATCTGTCCCCCTCCACTGCTCCCATCAGCCGGTGCACACTTTCTGGACTGCCTGTATGCAGTGAGCTGTGTGTCTTGCGTCTTTCTCAAGAGATGCTGAAAAGTAAAGGCTCCTGTCCACTTGGGGATCTCATCCCCTCTGCCCAGACAGGCCCTCAGTAACTGTCGGCCTAATGAATGGGGTTTGTCAATGCCACGCCTCAGAGAATCCCCAGGGGAGGCAAGGTGCTGACCCAGTACACACTAGGAGTGCGCCTGCCTCACCAGTAATCTATCCGTCCTCCAGCCAGGCGCAGGCAGCTGTAGGCTGGGGCTCACCACTGGGATGAGCTGTGAAGGAAGCAACGCTGGCTTTCAGACTCAGCTCTCAAGGGACTCCTCCTGTCTTTCCTGGATCGTAGCATCACTCACACGCCGTGGGTGCTTCTGTCTGACCCCAGATACAAAACGAATTAATTTTAGGAAGACCAGATTGGAGTTTGAAGTCCCATTGTCCTACAAATAGGAGAGCTCAAAAAGCTTGATCATTGACATAAATACATCACTTAAGTATTTGCAGAATTTAAACTTGAAAATTTAAGAAACTAATAATTTAAAAACCTGAAAATTAATGGCTTAAATCTCAGTAACTCAACTGGGTTTGCCCAAGGCTGCTGTCCAGCCAGGACGCGGGACTCGCCTAGAGGTGGTTTCACGGAGAGCCAAGTTATGAAAAACACTCAAGGGAGCACACAGTCCTGAAGATCTCAGCCTCCCGCACCCCTGAGTTCCCCGCCAACCCCGACCTGGAGCCTCGGGAACACAACCACAGGCCTGGCCCAGCGCCCACCTCGTGACGGGCAGCTTCAGCGCCCAATGACTGGCCCAGTGGAACACGATTATAGCTTAAAGTTTTTGTCGTATTGAAACCTAAGCCGTTCCTAGTGATACCTTGGCCTTTGTCTTACAGCTGTGTGCACCGCGTGGGAGTAAATGCTAGGGAGGTTTGTTTTCAAGTTGAAGAGCATAATTTCCTTTGAAAGAGGAAGTGCTAGCTGACACATGGTTGGTTGTAAATTAGTTAACACTCCTGTCCCAAGGGTATGGTCAAAGCCAGCTTCCTGGAGGGAGGTGGCTGGAGCCAGCCCGCCCTGACTGTGGGGGTGGTCACCATCTTCTGTGTGGGGTAAGCTGTCCCGCTGTAGAAATCGAAACAACGATCATACTTCTCCTCAACGCTAGATTCTTCCCACTTCATCTGAAAGAAAAACGTAACAACAAAAGATCCTTGAGAAGGATTTGTCCCTAGGAAGTGTCTACAATTCTGCATCTATTTCACACCTGTTTTCCTAGCACACCCTCAGAGCGGTGGTGGCGCTTCCTTCTGGGAGGATGGTGTTTGGTTCTGTGCTGGCTGCTCCGGTTGCCACCCTCTCACCTGGTTGACCTACTAGCCCCCGCGACAGGCCAGTGCTGACCAGGCCATGGCCCGCGCTCAGCAGAGAGGTGATGGGGCCCGTGCTCTCGCGTCAAGCTTGCTTCGCCAAGATCTCTGTCATGTTTAGCGAAAGGGTATGCACAAACTGTGTGGTTTTTCTTATTTTTTAATCAATTTTATTTTTTATATTGATTACATGGTTGATCAGGTTGCGAAGGATCTAGAGTTATGGGAGAAGTGGGGGAACCACACACGACTTTCCAAATGTCCCAGTATAGTATCCAGGGATGGGGACCCGCTACTTCATATCAACCCAGAGTCTCAATGTGTACATATTCCGAGGTGCTGCCCCGGTGCTTTGGATAATTCTGGAATGCTGTCGATTTCACTGATCCAAGGATGATGTCACTCTCCCAATGGCTTACATAGTCAACCTCAAATCTCTATTCACCGAGATTTTTTGCTGTCATCGTTTGGGGTAGTTGTCCAGTTTGCTCTGTTCTACCATGACAGCAAATGAACGGCCATATTCTCCTTTTACAACAGGGCCTGTGTCCACTGCTCTGCCTTTTTCACTAAGTAGGACATGTTCTTGCAGATGACCCCAAGGACCTGGGCCAGGCAACCCAAGCCCCACCAGATCCCCTACCCCTGGAGTTCATAAACCTGGCATCCACCTTGAGGCAGGTCCCAGGGCCCAGGACAGGTAACTCGAGCCCTGCCAGATCCACTACCCTTGGGACTCACAAACCCAGCCCTCACTGGGCCCAGGCTGGCATGACTTGCCTCACCTCAGCATCCACAATGTTATCACACGGCCTGGTTTGGTCCAGCCTGTCCCCTGTTCCAGCTCCTGCTGGTGAGTGCTGCAGCCTATCCCAGCCCAGCCTGATTGCTGTCCTGGTCCTAATGTGAACTGGCTGGTGTTGTGGCCTGATCTGGCTCCTCCTGCCCCTTGTCCTGGTTCTCAGACCTGCCAGTGGGTGTTATCAGGTCCAGACTGGTCTGTCCCCAGACCTGACCCACACACATGTTGGCAGGTACTGTAACCTGGCAAGTCCTGGTTAAAAGAACAAAGGTTTGGCTCAAAGTGAGTCTTAACTGGGAGCTCCCAGGCAAGGTACACTAGTCCAGCACAGACAAATGGTGAGAGAAGTCACACCCTGTTGTGAACCCGTAGTTTTATAATCGGGTCCAAACAGGAAGTGGGATGGACCCTAGCAGGGGAAGGAACTTTTCCTTATATGGTAAGGTGCATGCTGATAGGTGGAATGCATCACTTCCGGTACAATCAAGGGATTCTGGGTATTGTAGTCCCCCTGGCCTGATGGCATCAGCTAATGCCTCCTTTCATCTGCCTCCCTCCTGCAGGCCGCTCCTTCTGCACCCAGCTGGGCCTTACAGTCTGGGCTGCTCCTTGCCTAGCTTTTTGTGCTCACCTGCAGGGACTGTGCCCCAATGAAGGAGTTCCCCAAGCTCCTCTAGCAACAAGTCCCTTCCCAGTGGTGGTTCTCACATACACCAGTGGGTCCTTGGCCCACCTCTTGTCCTGGCAAGAACAGTGGCCTTGCTCAACCAGCCCACACCCATTCTGGTTCTTGCTGTTGGGTGTTGCAGCCCAGCTATACCTGGTCCGCACCCAGACACAGCTTTCACATGGTTCAGCGGGAGTCAAGACCTAGCCCAGCCTGTGCTACACCCAGTCTGGCTTACGTGAGTACCAGTGGGGGCTGGAGTCTAGCCCAGTCTGTCACTCCCCAGACCCAATGCACACCTGTGTTGGTGAAGGCTGTAGCAGTGTCCAGCTCAAGCTCTCATCCTCACCAGTGGGAATGCCATTCCAGCTGGGGTATCCCCTTAGCTCCCCAGCCAGACCTGTTCCATCTGCAGTTCTTGGGTGAACCAGTAGACATTGCAGTTCCACTGGGGTGAGTCCACGTTACCTCCACAGATTCCGCTATCAGACCCACTCCTCTCACTCTTGTTCGCCCCTCCAAACCACTGTGGTCTCAGCCCTTACTGACACACACATGTCGTTGACTTGTCTATGGAGGACTCCCAGCTGTAATTCCTAACCTGACCATAAAGCCACAGGTCATGGCTCACAGCCACCTGTGTGATCCCATCATCCCCTTGTAAGTCAAGACAGGTGAGCATGTGCTGCGAGGCAGCCCGAGGGGAAAACCACACAGCCAGGCTACATGCGCCTATGTGCAGATCAACAAACAAACAAAAGCCTCCCAGGATGGGGTGGTCCCGGAAGCCTGCTGAGCATCCCTTCCCCAAGGAGCCCGCGTTCTCTTATTCCTTTTTAAATGTTTCTGATGTGCTTATTTTTATTTAGTCAGGTGAATTTCAGTTGTTCTATATGAGTTTCAGAAATATCACTTTCAGTAAATAAAATTTGGTGTTTATCGTAGTGGTTTCTTTATCGAGTGCTCTGACTTTCCATGTAGAGTTGTGATGGTTTCCCAGTTTTTCCTTTTCCCACTTTTCTGTTCCCTTCACCATCCTCGTCTTTCTGCTGCCTGGGACAGTGCTCAGCTAGGAGCAAGCCCACAGGTGAGCTGAGTTGATATGAAATACCAGATTGTAAATTGCGCTGTTCCTCCCTGTAAGAGGAACCGTGGCATGTTCCGCTTTCGAAACTCCCATGCTGCTCGCCTCTCTGGGTGAAGTCGGCCAGAGCAGGCCCTGGGACCACAGACGCACCGACGATTCCTCAGGCTGTTTCTCTTCCCCTTTTCTCAACACACTTTAACCTTTCATTTCCGGGTTCCCCTGCATCGTTTACTCATTCTTTAGGTGTTTATTCAACAATCATTGTGTGAAAGGAACTGTTGGGGGGCCAGTATGACTGTGATGGGGGGACAGGGCTGGTGGGGGGGTGGGGCTGCTGTGACGGGGCTGTTTGGGGGCTGAGCAGCTGTGACGGGGCTGTTGGGTGGCTGGGGCTGCTGTGACGGGGTTGTTGGGGACAGAGCAGCTGTGATGGAGCTGTTGGGGGGCCAGGGCTGCTGTGACGGGGCTGTTGTGGGGCCGAGCAGCTATGACCGGGCTGTTGGGG